ACTTTTGTATAATGGAATACAGAGAAAGATAAACTCGAGGCTTTTAAAGGGAAATGGTCACAACTAGAGACCCTACTCATAAGTGAAATAAATCAGACCTACATGTGTAAGAATCATATTGTTTCACCTGAAAGAGTGAATAAAAATGAGAAGGTATGATAGACATTGTGAAATGAAAGGAAAATGCTCAAAAGTAAAGGGCAACTGGGGTGTGGGAAAATAGAAGGGAAAGAAGGGGAAACTTTGTAAGGATGTGTATACAGGATAGCTAACATAGTTCTACTACTGTCTTCTATTGCTCTACAGAAAGGAACAGCTAATGATTACTTGTTTGATCAGTCTTGTATGTCTCTATTTGTTTTCTTGAGAAACCACTTTGAAGATATCAATAACTAATACAACAATCATTGTTAATTTCCTACAACTTTGTCTGTAACTCTGTTTTGTTTGTATTGTTCTTATGCTATTTTGTAAATGGATGTCTGTTTGTTAATATGTTTTCCTTCTTTTATTTCTTAAAATAAAAAAATAAATTACCTTATGAATAGGATGGTAGCTAGGAGTATGCTATAGTCTAATGGCTAGAGAAGAAATCTTTAGTATTAGAGTGCCTCAGTATCAAACCTATTTTCTCTACTCACCAGCTCTGTGAACTTCCATAAAGTTATCATGCCTCTTCACGCCCCAAGCTTCCTTATTTATTGGTTGAATAGATCAGCAGTACCTGTCTCCTATGATATCTGTGAGGAGTAAATGAGATGACATATGTAAAATTTCAGCACCATGCTTTATGTGCAGTAGGTGCTCAATTCATATTAGCTAATATAAAGCAAGATAAGAATTGGAGCTGGGCATGGTGGCACACACCTGTAATTCCAGCATTCTGGGAGGCGGAGGCAGCAGGATTACAAAATCAATCCCAGGCAGGGCAACTTAGGGACTTTGAGATCCTATCTGAAAATAAAAAACAAAAAAAGGCTAGAGATGTAGCTCAGTGAGATGACCCTGGGGTTCAAACTGCACTACGAAAAAGAAAGCGAGTCTGGCTACCGTAATTGGTTAGATTCCAGTGTGAGGCTGGGCGTGAGAAGTACTCCGTAGCCATTTGCTGTCCATGGTGATTTTTATGAAGCTAGTTTGTCCTGCCATTCACAATATAAAAACACCTCTCATATTATATTTTGCTATGTTGTTTCATTAGAGATGAGACAAAGACTTGAAGTCTTTTAAGATGAATTTTTCAAGACTGATCAATTTCTAGTTTGGTAGAACAATTTTATTTAAATTTGAGCTAAAGGGGAACATTTACATTGCTCAGTACACCCTGGAGTAAAAGCCTAAGTCAATTTCCTTATCTCACCTGCAACTATTGATTAGACAATAGTCTGTTTGGGGAAGGAATCTTTGTTTGATCTGTGAAAATTCATGGTTGAACAGGAAGTTATAAAGACCTTTACACTGCATTGCTGTCAAGAGCCATCATCATCTTCTCCCTTTGACTGGTATCACTTTTTCTGTAGCAATTTGACACTCCTGTTGGAGAAGGAGGAGGCCAGATGAGTGGTGGCCAGAAACAAAGGATCGCCATCGCCAGAGCCCTTGTCCGAAACCCCAAGATCCTCCTTTTGGACATGGCCACCTCAGCACTGGACAATGAGAGTGAAGCCATGGTCCAAGAAGCACTGAGTAAGGTTTGTGGAGAGCCTGAGTTCGTTTTATGGGTCCAGGTGGAAATGCTTGTCTTTCTGAGGAAAAGTCCCCTCACTGGAGGGGGGTGATGCTACTTGTGTCTGTGCATTCAATGTGATCATTTAAGAAACAGTGGCTGGCTGCTGTCTTCCTCACGTTGAATAGAAGACAGTTATGATTTGCTTCCAAAAGTCGCACATGTAAAACTTAAGCTCTCGATATGAGTAACGTGATGTTTTAAAGTTCCCCTTTCTTAAATTGTTGATTAATAGCAGCAGCAGACTACTGGGATTGTGACCCAATTTATGGCTACAAGAAATTGACCTTTTCTGATGTCTGCATAGCCTATGTAAGGATCCTCCCAGGAACCAAGGCACTGACTTACTTGGATTCGAGAAGGATCCAATGACCAAGGTCAGCTGTATCTCAGCTTTTGTTTCATAGTGCTCTGTGTTCCTCCCAGATTCAGCATGGGCACACAGTCATCTCAATCGCCCACCGCCTGTCCACGGTCCAAGCAGCGGATGTTATCGTTGGTTTTGAACACGGCACAGCAGTAGAAAGAGGCACCCATGAAGAACTGTTGGAAAGGAAAGGGGTCTACTTCACCCTAGTGACTTTGCAAAGTCATGGAGATCAAGCCCTTACTGAAAATCCTGTAAAGGGTAAGTGCCTTTTCCCTTCTGCTTGTTCAGTCTCTTAAATAGTTAACATATGCAGTGCTTTGTGCCTTTCTGTGCATGTTAATATATGCTGTCTGCTTTGTTTTCCCGACACCCCTGGCAGGCATTATATAAATGCTAAAGGCAACAACTGAAGCTCACAAGTCAAATTATTTTAGGTCCTAAGAGCTAAATCCAGTGTTTTCTGATTTTCTGTTCTGTCCCTTTTTCTTACCCTTTGCAAATAGGAGAGGCTTCCTAGTGTGTGTCCTGCACAGTGGAGAAGTCTCATTCTTATCGGTTGAGTGAATTTATCAATGATTTAAAAGCTTTATACTTATTTTCCAATGCAGATAGATGCTTCAGGCCCTAGCACACCTTCCGAATTTTCAGATTCTGTGGCTACCCCAAGCTAAATTCACTAACCACTCTAATCCTTCTCCACCATTTCACATTGGCACATGTGAGCTATATTAGGCATAGCTACTGTATGTGTTTTAACATCTGAATTTAAGTCTGAATAGACTTTGTTTAGTGGTTTTATCATTTTTGTCACTTCTAGTTGGCTTCCCTTAATTTTTTTTATGACTAATGCTAAAAGATTTCTTTTTCTGCAGAAGTAACAGGATACCATATGTTTCAAATGACTCAGTCTAATTATCTTGAATTTTTTATTAGAAAGTGCCAGATGAGTTTCTGGTTTTATTTATTGAAATAAAGTTGCTAAAACAGGTCAGCATCAGACATAAGAATCAAATTTTAGGCAGACACAGCAAATGTTTGAATCTGGCCCTTTTCTTGTATACACTAATAAATGGCTTACATTGTGTTGAACAGAAAAAGATGCAACTGAAAATGACATACCCAGGACCTTCAGCAGAGGGAGCTATCAGGACAGTTTACGGTAAGCTCAAGACATGCGCAGATTTAAATTTTCAAATTTTCTTAGGAGCTCTTTGTAGCTGTGGTCCTCAAGGAAAGCTCCAAGCAGAATCCCAGTCTTGTGCAGTAAGAGTATGCAGATGATTTACTTCATTATGACATTTATACTTCCCATTCATGGGTGTTTGTTTTACTTTGGCTTTTTATCACATTTTGGGTAGGGTTGTGATGGAGGATTTTGGTTGTTTTTTAAGAATATATTTTTATTAGTACCTGTTAAATTTATAAAATATTGGGTTTCAATATGTAAAATATATTTTGATCATATCCATCCTCTTACTCCCCCCTTATACTCTGCTCCTCCACCTCCTATTACCTTCCTCTTGCCTAATCATACCACGGTGTCTCATCTACTTTTGTGTTATCTTTTAAAAATTCCACATATTAGAGAAAGCATAGTGGAAATCATAGTGAAAGTGAGACTTGTCATTTTAAGTCTAGTTTATTTCATTTAACATTGGCCTGGGGATGTACCTCAATGGTAGAACACTTGCTCAGAATCTTCCAAGGCACAGAGTTCAATCGCTAGTATCATGAAAACAAAACTCTGTCACATGCAGTGGCACACATCTGTGATCCCAGCACTTAGGAGGCTGAGGCAGGAGGACTGCCATGAGATTGAGGCCAGCCCGGCCTACATAGTGAGTTCAAGTGATTTCAAGGCCACCCAGAACTACAAAGAAACAAAACAAAGCACAAAATAAAGCAAAACATTTAACACAATGGTCTTCTGTTCAGCCCATAAAATACTGTTTATTTGGCGCAGAAAGGGGCTTTTTAAAAAACCCTGTTTTTAGTCTTTTACCCACCACAGCTGAGACGCAGGAAACCCTGTCTCCTATGGAAGCCACATTTACACCTATAGGTCCATTCTTCAACCTGTAGAGAAGCAATTGAGTTACAAACACTTCTGCACCTTGAGTGACCTCGAGTGACTATCCAAAATCAAATCATTCTTAACTAGGGTCTTGGTTACTTTTCTTTCTAGTTGCTAAGACAAAATACCCAAAGCCCAAAATTAAGGAAGGAAAGGTTTATTTAGCTCAGTTTACTGGAGGTTTCAGCCCCTATCAGCTGGCTCCCAGGCAGGGTGGCATGGCACAGAGGCAGCAGTCCAAGGCAGCGAAAGCAGCAAGAGCACAAGTGGGGGGAAAGCAAGCCTCTTTTCCTCCTTTATATTGTAAGCAGGCTGTCACCCCCTTGGAAGTGTGTATGTAGCACTCAGAGCACCTCCATGCCCTCCTCTTGCGCAGGCTCAGGATGTTTACAAAGTGAGGACGCTGGCTCCCTGCTGAGTCGCTTAGTTAAACTTCTTTTTTGAGTGCAGGAGACTGGAATTGAACTCAGGGCCTCCTACTTATGAGGCAGGTGTTTTGTGGCTGAGCTATATCCCCAGCCCACTTAGTTAAACTTCTAAACTTCTCACCCACTATTACACTAGGTGAAGAAAAATATCTTTTAGCTTTTAAGGAGAATTTCTCTAAATGAAGTATTTATTTTTCTCCAGATCAATATGTAGGTGTTCACTCTTAAACTATCTTTTTCATGTTGTCTTCATGCTGATTTAACAGTTTCACTTTTAAAAGTCCCTGTAATGTTAAAAATCTCTGTGTTAAGAATTCTAGGGGTCAGTGCTGTAGCTTAGCAGCGGTAGAGCCCCTGCTTAGTATAGGCAAAGCCCTGGGTTTGACACCCATCTGTCCAGCAGTATTTGTCTGGATCCATGAAAGAGCTGGTCCAGATCTTCCTTCTTATGTTAGGAGGAGACCATGGTAGTTAGTGGTTGACAGCACCTTGCTCTACCATTGTTGTCCTTATGGTAAGGAACATGGAATGAGCATAAAGCTATGGTCTGAGCAATGGCTCATTCGAGGTGGCCAACTGTTTATCGAAAAGGGGTTATAAAGACTTCAGACATTCAGGCAGCAACTCTAAGCAGTCAAAACAGGCTTACTCATTTTTAATGTTTAAAGGATAGTTCACTAAAAAAGTACTATACTGATTTTCAAAAGTAAACAGGTACTTCAAGCCCTAGTGTACCTTTTCTTTAAAAATCTAAATTCTCAGGTGAAGTTTATTTATTTATTTTTCTTTTGAGAACAAGTCTACTGGAAAATTTTAAAGAAGTACTAGTTTTATTGAATTTATTAAATTTGGAAAATAAGGCAAGAGCTTCACGTTAACTCTATAAAGTAAAAGCTATAAAATAACCAAAATTACTCGTCAAGTTTTATAAACATCCCTCAGTATGTTTAATTTCAAGTAAAATTTTGAAATCTGAAGGTATGTGTGGTTGCCTTCTCAGGAAGGCCGGCTGAGCACACGGGTGCAGGCAGCACCTGACACTTGTTTCAGTCCAATCTCCCTTGGGTAGAAAGTGACAAGGGGAGTCGTGGGAATGGTCCCATCTCAGTGCACTAGAGCAGGTGGTGTGGGGCTCCTTGCGGCCAACATGTCTGTCTGCGCTTCAGCTGTAGCTGAAGCTCTTGGAACACAGTTTTGAGAATGAAACTTCCTTCCTATGAAGGGAGCCTTTATCATTGGCTCCATCATTTAATGCTCTACTTGCTAATGACTGAAAAAAACCTCACCCATCTTGCTTTAAAGGGAAAGAATCAGCTCACATGACCAAATACCCCAAAGTTGCGTTGGCATCAGGCCAGTCTAAGCCTTCAATATGTTCAAGTTAGGTGGTTTCGCTCCTTTCCTTCTGTGTTTTCCAGGCAGGGTCTTTCCTTGAGAATCTCAGTGTAACTGTTAGTAGCTCTCAGTTCTGTGTAGTTTGAGGTTACTCTAAAGGAGAACAGGAGTCTCCTTCCCAGGAATCTCAGTGGGAAAAGAAAGCCAGAGCTAGCTGGGCATGGTGGTATATCATTGTAATCCCAGCACTCTGGGAGGCTGAGGCAGGAGGATATAAATTCAAGCCTACTCTGGGAAGTGTAGAAATTTAGCAAAACCCTGTCTCAAAAAAAAAAAAAAAAAAATTCAAAAAGGACTGGGATATATCTCAGTACAAAGGCCCTAGGTTCGATCTGAAGTACCACCAAAATAAAACAAAGCCATAAATAAATAAAACAGTCATGCCCCAGGCTTGCTGTGAGCTAAGTGTACTTGACAAGTAACCCCGCTGTCTCTTGTCTCTGCTTCTGTTTGCTCTGTTTTCTCCACCAAAAATGTTCTATCCTCTGGACTCTAAACACCCAAATGCTACTTAGCTCCTCTGTGAAGCCTTTCCTGGTAACACCTGCCATGCATTTTTTTTCTCTTTGAATTTCCAAAACTTTTACTCAAAACTGCTATGTAGCACTTACCACAGTCTTCCTTACATCAGGGCTAGGAATGTGCCTTGCTCTTCTCTGAGATTTAAACTCTTCAAAGAAGACAACTGTGATTGACCAGTCTCTGTGTCGGCAGCATCTACCCTTAGTTAGCAAGTTGTATGTACTCAGCAAGTGTCTGCTGAGTGAATGAATGCACATGTTATGCTAAATTATACTCCAATAGAAATTCTGCTAATGCATTTCTGTAGGCAGGGTGTAGTCTAGAAACAATCTCACTAGGTGTCCTACTTCCTTCTGCAGGCTCATTTGGGGGCATCTAGGTGGCCTCATACTAAAGTAAACATTAGAGAGAGGAGGAGAGAGAAAGAAGGAGAGAGAAACAGAGAGAGACAGAGA